ACTTGTTAAAGTTGAAATTGGAACCTTTGTTTCGTCCCTAATTTCAAAACTGATAGATTTATAAACTTCAAAATTTCAGAACACATTTATAAAGAGTGTAGAAAGATTATTCTGCAAACAAAATTCTTAAATATTAACAGCTCTTAAAGATAGAGAGTATCAAAGTTAAATTCCTACTTGTTAAAGTTGAAATTGGAACCTTTGTTTCGTCCCTAATTTCAAAATTAATAGATTTATAAACTTTAAAATTTCGAAACACATTTATAAAGAGTGTAGAAAGATTATTCTGCAAACAAAATTCTTAAATTCCCCCTGTATATAAATTTTCAATTAAGCAACATTTTTTAACATATTTCAAACATTTATTGTTATTATTTATCTAAAATATTGGCATTCAATCTATCCATTCTATAATTTAATAATTAAATCCAAGATTAAAATAGTGCAAAAATTGAGATTTTTTAAAACCACTTACTTTAGATGGAAATTATATTTGATTTTGATCAAATTATCATCTCCATTTTTAAATATTTAACATTCGCCAAACTCTTTAAATTATTAAACTTTTTCATTTTTGTTGTCTCACCTTTGTACTGTTACGTGAGCAAAGTTTCACTAGCTAAAACCCGTCTAGAAAGTTGTGAGGGTTTAAGAGAAGCTTTAAGAGCTTTGCAACATTCCACGATTATTCTAAGCCTGAAATTCGGTGGGATTTGTAACATCAAATAACTATCTTTAATTAATTTAAAGGCAATAATTCAGATGGTATTAGAACGTAGACAAAATTTGAACATTCAAGAATCAATTTATAATGTTTCAAGTTTCATTATAAATACGTCTTCAGTTAAATTATGTTACTTTTTCATCGGCTGCGTTTTAAATTAATTATCAAGTAATATTTCTTTCATAAAAATAAGTAGGTAGTTTATTAAATTGTTTTAGTAACGGAAAACTGGCATTTTCATGCTCGTGATATGATGTGAAGTACCGATGATTTCCATACTATCGTTGCATATTTAAATACAGAATAAACGCGCTATCATATGTTGTCAGTCTATTTAGATTCTTAAACTTATATATTATTGTTAAAAAGTTATTTAGTTTATCCCTTCGGATCCGGGCTAGCCTTATAAATTAGTACAATATGTTAGATATATTTCCAACATTACTTTAAAAGAAAGTTAAAAATAAATAACTTACCTGCACTCTAGACTCAGTCAATCCAATCCTCATAGCAATTTCTTCTCTCATGAAAATGTCGGGATAATGCGTTTTGGAGAAGCATCGTTCCAGCTCGTTGAGCTGAGCCGGAGTGAACCGCGTTCTGTGCCTTTTCTGCTTGGAAGGTTTGTCACCATCGTTTGAACTATTGCTAAGTGAACTTCCGATGCCTGATAAGCCACCGTCGCATAATCCACCTATGCGGGACTGATCGAGTATTTTGAGATCACTTTGGTGCCTTTTTATGTCTTCACCGCACATTTCTTTAATCCCTGTAAGAAATAAGTTCTTTTATCAATCAGATACAATATTAATTACAAATTATGTAAGGTGGGACACAACGCGTAACTAACATTTCTACAAAAAATGTATATTTATAATAAATATACACAGGATTTTCAAGATGCAGCAACAATTTCTGACATTAAAAATGAGTCTAATATAAATTCGAAGATGTATAACCTAAAAACTCTTCTGCAAGAATATTTAGAACCTCCTAAAAGTTTTGTTTGTATCTTTAATATCTGATTAAGAGCACGATCTTCTATAACCGAAGGCATATTTAAGAGTGCCCAACAGTGGTTTTAAAATCCTCAATGATATTTTTATGAGAAAGATAGTGTAGTTTACATAAACCTTTTTGGTGTGAATTTTAAGCAAGTAAAATTACTTAGTAACTGCTACATAATTGCTTGTTGTATTTTTAACTTAAAGAACTTATTTTGTAAGACTAACTATTTTAATAAACTGTTTTTTTTTAATTAATTTATCACACTTCCTTAGCTCTAAGAATAACTTGCAATTAAACATTTAAAAATAGCCTATTTCTAGAATGCAGTTGCACAAATTAAAATTTCCTCTAAAGATTCTAAATCAAATACAACTTCTGTTATTTCTACATAATTATTTACTTCATATGTGAGACGAACAATGCAAATTACTTTATATTCACATTGTGATTATTATGTAATTATACTGCATATCCACAAGACGATGTTACATATGTGGTATAACCAATTAGATTTTAAAAATTAGATTAATCATGAAGCTACAGAGTTTGAGCTTTCAGTTCTACATGCAAGGATTCGTCTTTTTGAAAGCATCTCCACTTGGCTTATAAATTGCCAGTGAAAAAATACAGAGAGAGAAAAACAGAAACGGAAAAAATATTGAAAAATCTGATGTGTCCAACACATGACTTTCCTATCTAGGTATTACAGGCTTTTTCCGGTTATTTTGTACAACCTATTGCAGCATCTCTATAAATGTTTAGAGGATAAACTAAATATATACATTGTCCACATACATCTACCGCGAAACATTTTTCTATAGATATTTATTGAAAATGAAAATACTGAAAAATTTAAATTTAGCACTTTTCCTACAATATTTCCATTACGGTCCATTTTAAAAAAATCATGTATAAACAAATATTATAGAGATCGATATCGTAAACAACTTTTATTTCAACAATTTTCATAAAAATCAGAATTTTGCACATTTTGTCAAATTTTTCGAATACGGACCATTTCAGGAAATTTTTACATAAAGCAAAAATTATAGATAATAATATTAGAAGTAACTTTTATTTGAACAATTTTTTTCTTCAAACATAAATAACAGATATATTTCATAAAATATAAAAACGGCCTCCCATAAAGTACCCCCCCAGATGTTCCGACTTTGTCCAAAATCTAATTATTTCACGTCAGGCCGAAATAAAAGTTAAGTTTAAAATTTAATGTTTTTTTCTTTATCCATTTTTGAGTTTTATTCAAATTTCGAAATTTACACATTTTCTCGAATATCTCGAATACGGTCCATTTTAGAGAAATTATCTATAGGATAAAAATTATAGAGAATTATATTACAAACAACTTTTGTTTGAACAATTTTAATAAAAAAAAATATTTTTTTTTACATTTTGTCAAATTTCGCGAATACGGACCATTTTATGAAAATTTTGTATATAACAAAAATTATAGATAATAAAATAAGAAGTAACTTTCATTTGAAGAATTTTCTTCCCCAAACGTAAATAACAGATATATTCCATAAAATATAAAAATGACCACCTATAAAGTACCCCCCCAGATGTTCCGACTCTGCCCAAAATCTAATCAGCTCATTAGACGTTGGAACAAAGCTTAAGTTTGAAATTTGGTGTTTTTCCGTGTATCAGTTCATGAGTTATGCATTATACAGACACACATAGACACACACACAGACAGACAGACATCATCGCGAAAATAGTCAAAACGGATTCAGGGGACCTCAAAACGTAAAAATCCGTCGAAAACTCGAGGTCGAAAAAAATCATGATTCCTATACTTTCCTTATATTTGTATACAGATAGGAAAGTAAAAATAATAATTCAAATACCTCATAATTTACCTAATCGTGCGCTCATCAGAGTCTTAAAAGGGAATAAAATAAGGGTAGCCCATTGTTACGTTCCACAAAACTGGGCGACACAGGTAAAATTCTCAAGTTCATCACATTTCTTTAAAATCACAGATTTGTATAAATGAAATTGAATAAAAAATTTATAGAATAGAAAATTACAAACTACAAAAGAAAATAAATAAATAAATAAATAAATAGAATAAAAAGAAAATAAATAGTTTAAAAAACTAAAAAACACGCTATAATGAAAAAAACAAACTAAAAAATAGTGGTATATTTTTGTAAATGGAATTTAATAAAAAAAGTTTGTAGAATAACTAAAAAATAGATACTTTCCCAATTTCTTTGTGATTATACTTAATTGTCAATAAAATGTTATTTTAAACATGTAGTTTTGATAAATTCCCCCCCTCCTCCATGGCTTCTGACCACAGAATTTTAAAAAATAGAGGTATATTTGTATAAATGAAATTGAATAAAAAAAAAGTTTGTAGAATAACTAAAAAATAGGTACTTTCCCAGTCTCTTTGTGATTATACTTAACTGTCAATAAAATATTATTTTAAACATATCGTTTTGGTAACTTCCCCTCTCCTCCAGGGCTTCTGATCACAGAATTTTAAAAAAATTGAGGAATATTGGTATAAATTAAATTGAATAAAAAAAAGTTTGTAGAATAACTAAAAAATAAATACTTTCCCAATTTCTTTGTGATTATACTTAACTGTCAATAAAATGTTATTTTAAACATATCGTTTTGGTAACTTCCCCCCCTCCCCCATGGCTTCTGATCACAGAATTGTAAACTATTTATAAAAGTAGATTTATTATTTATTTTAAACTGAATAGCTACCTGATTGTAAGCACCACTTTTCTATATAGTCACTATACATTATCCATATTCGACCACCAAATTTTCAACGAACAACTTTTTACCTCTCTGATTAACATGGAGTAAAATTATTTTTATAAATTTGGTCTCAAATTACGTACTAACCATTTTTGTGATTTTTTTTAAATGGGACCACATTGATAAAAGATATAAACACTCTTCATTATAAGCACTACTACATTATTTTGATAAAAAGTCGATTAAGATCATCAATGATTGTATAATGAATAAATTATTAGAAATGAAAACATTGAATAACCGCGGATGATACCCGGAGATGCTGCGAGTATTGACTGAAAGTGTGAAAAAGTTTGTAGAAATCTTGTGTGCCTGATCCTAATTACATGGCCTACCAGGACTGGCGTGCGATATTGGCTTAATGAGGGCGAGGCAGCTCCAATTTAGCCCATTTAACTAGCCTATCGTTACTACGCTGAATCACTAAAGACTTTAACGTCAATTAGTGCCCCCACTAACTTACCGACAGAGCCCAGATTGTTCAGCATGTTTCAGGACGATCTCCAAATCTGACGCACTGCACTGTTTATTTAATGAGTACTGATTTCGAACTGAATTGTGAATATGTTGTTGATACCGAGAAGAACAGGCTAGTGGGAGTCGGGCCAATGGGGCCAAGACCCCCAACGGGGCGTGGCGTGTCGCGAGGGCGGAGCTCGGAGCTTCCATTGCTTCTAGTGCCAAGCGTACGCCCGTCGGAGGAATTTCTCCAGGACAAAGGACGAGACGGAGGAAGATTCACGCAAATCCGCGTGAATGCCGCGCTTTTGTCTCTTTGTGCTTTTAAAACTACTGAAAAAAGTAATTAAACTTTTCGGTGTTGTGTTTTCCGTTGGTTATATCTTGTTGTTGTGTGGCAGCTTAGGAGCATGTGCTTGAAATTAAAATTTGATTTTACTTTGTTGACGTTTTGTTAGAAATTTCCTACCCGCGATTTATTATCCGGTAACTAACATTTTTTAAACCGTAACTAGAGTCCACCGATATTAGACACAAAATTACAGTAAAACAATAAAGGTTTTGACTTCTTTTGACAAAATTTCACTAAGCACAGATTAGCAGAAGCTGAGAAACCTATTTGTTGCTCGGAAGCATATAAATATATACATCCCACTATCATTTCGGCTTCCTTACATAACACCTTAATTTGGCGTCCACTAGAAAGAAACCTATTTTTAAATGTTTAGCTGTGTATACAAATCCGGCGCATTTTTTAATATATGAAACTCATCTTAGATTTTTAATAGTGTAAAGTTGACTATTTATTCGACTTTTACACCAAAACGCATTTTGACGTCTGTGCAAAAAAGACTTAAAAGTGAAATCATTACGACTACCAGCAACGTTGCCAAGTATCTTAAAAGAAAATCCAATCGTTCTAACGTCACATGTTGTATATATACACAGACGGTGCTTCAAACATTATTTTAACATAATTATGTATTATTGCCAGGGCCGCTAAAAGCAGCCAGGTCAGACCCCAGGACAGTTCTCTAAATCGGGCCCCGCGACAATTTTTATAAAAAATAAAAAAAAAAAAATAAATAAAAAAATTAAAAAAAAAAAATTAAAAAAAAATTAAAAAAAAATTAAAAAAAAAACAAAAAAGTTCTTCAACCAAGAACTTCCCCCCTCTTGTATTGAACTTTTAAAAGTAACGAAAAAACCTTCGTCACAGTTGCCGGGCTTCCATTTGAGCCCAGGCCCTGGGAATTAGTCCTGGCTGCCCCCCCCCCCCACTATAGTCTATTTTTATGTATGAGAGAGTATTAAAATAATAATGCGTTCGTAATCCATAGGCGTACCACTTCTTTTAGTAGACAGTTAAAATATTTTTTGAAGTTATTCCTCGAGTATACACTTATATTTTCACCTAATTAACCTGCTTATACCTTCTAAACAGCTGAAGATAAAAAAGTGCAATTTTTTCTAAAATGTTTTATTTTTCCACAAGATATGTTAAGAACATTGTGTCAAACGGGTTATGTAGGTATAAGGGTTTAAACTTTGACTTTTAAACAACGTTACGTTCATAAATAATAATTTTAATATAAAAACTACTTCTTACCTACAAATCCAAATCAGAATCGAAATCAGAAGATGAACTGTCGCAACCAATATTTACAATGAGTGGCTCGATCATTTCATCAGTAATATTGTCCAACTTCCACATTTTCTCTTCTTCTTTAATCGTATGATTTACTGCCTTTTCCCAGTTTTCAGGCTTCACATTATTTACAGCCTCCAAAAACAACTGTTTAACATCACTCATTTTAAAAGAATTATTTTTTCTTGAAACTTCTCCCTTTATCTGTGCCCATATCAGTTCAATCGGGTTTATTTCGCAATGATATGGTGGTGATCTAACCACAGTCATCCCACGATTTTTTGCAATTTCATATTTTTTGAATTTCTCTTTATGAAGGGAACACAAATAATACAGTTCTTTTCTCACAGAACCGGGATGGAACTTAATATTCTTTGAATTTAGCCAATTCTGTAAATCTTTTTTTAACCACTTGGTTGTGGTCATTTTTTCTATAAGTCTCGAGTGATAACGTGCATTATCCATTACTATTATACAGTTCTGAGGAAGAAGATCTATAATTTGTTCGAACCACTCTTTAAAGACATCAACATTCATGTCCTCATGGTAGTCACCGGTACGAGTAGATTCAAAAGTCAATAAACCACCTTTAACAAAACCGTTTGAACTACCGATGTGTACTATTATTAGTCTGCGCCCCTTTCCTGATGGTGGATTTAAACCAGTAGATAAATTATTTAAAAAAGTCTGTCTTCGACTTGTAACAGTTTCATCTTGCCAAAATTTATTTGATTTGTGTCCCTCGTTGATCCATGTTTCATCTAAATAAAATATATTTCTTTTTTGGTTTCTCATTTCTTTTATAGTCCTTAGGTAATTTCTTCTCCATACTACAATATCGCTTCTTTCTATTAAAATAGACTTTCTGGAATGCTTTTTCCATAGAAAACCTATTTCTTTTAAATGTTTCCATAGTGTACTTCGACTCATTTCAGGGTAATCCTTATCATCTCGAACCGTGGCAAGAACTTTGTCTACTGTCGGAAATTCGTTTCTAAAGAAGAACGCATACACTTTCCTTCGAAGTCTTTCTTTCAAAAGATTTTCTAATTGAAATGTTGGTTTTCCTGGAGCTTTATGTGCTGTTTGAAACTCGCCACATTTCTTTTCTTTAACAACTCTGTAAATCGTAGATTTCCCAACACCAAGCGTACTACTAACTAATTCCACTGTGTCATCAACACTTTTACATAAATGTTTGTCTATAAATGATTTAAAACAATTAAATATTAAGGTTTTTTCATTAACTGTTAGACCGATTTTTTGTCGTTTACGCGGCCCTTCCAAATTTTCCACGATCACACTAAAATTCACACTGCACCTTGCAAGTTGCAATAAACGACATTTAGTAAACTGTCAAGAATACACAACTTGGATCTCCTTACTAAATGGAAAACCTATAATCGCATTTACATTGAAATTTGTTGGGAAGGTATTTACCTACTTATAATTCGATTACTGTAAGAAATTCTTGGAATTAAAATAAAACAAAATTGGCAAATAGGTACTTATTGAAAATAATCTTTATGTAATCTTTAATACACAGGGCTTTTGGCCTGTCCAAACCTTTTTCTATTGTTCTGTACAGCTTATGTTTATAAAGGACCAATAAAAGACCCAAAACTTGTAATAGCTCAGGTACATTTATTACAATTTTAGGAAATATTTAGATTATTCTGTAAAAATATTTAAAATGACCGTACTAAGTTTTGCATTAGAAATACTGTTTTATTACTCTTTCATACATAAAAATAGACTATAGTATATCTGAAAGCTTTTAATAATATCATTTAAACGTTCTGTACCTAATGTATGTAACATAATATGTTTAAATATATAAATCACTATGGCGTCCTCTTAGTTATTTCTAAATACCGATCATTCTAACGTCAACATATATGAAAAACATTTTTTTTTATAATTATTTTGCCATCTCAACGTATATAAAATATATTTCAATTTTGAAATCATTTTGGCGTCTCGCTAGTTGTATTTTAAAACACTAACTCCAAAGTGGGAGTACGTCATGTGATTATAAAATATATTTAAATTTTGCAATCGTTATGACGTCTAGTTTTCTTTTAAAACCGGTTATTCTATCGTCGATATAATATAATATATATTTGAGAAATACTTATTATTTACAATCATTTTGATCTCCAAAGTGGGAGTAGGAATTTTCCAGAAAAACAAGCCCTATCAGAGGGCAAAGCCTATTGATTTTGAAAAAATCATAAATCAAAAAGGAAAACCAATATCTTTGTTATTCCTGGAGACGTCTCTGCAAGCCTTTTACTCCTGGAGACGTCTCTGCGGCACTTCCTTGGTCGATAAGAACGGTCTCTGTCCAATACCTACGTCACAGGCGTCATTCCTTTCTTGTTCACTTATCATCGGTCATTCATACCCGATAATCGCCCTCATTGGTTAAAAACACCGGCGTTAGGCACTTCCTAATTGGTCAACGTCGAGTCACTCTCAATCTCAGACCTCTCAGACACAAAACATCATTCAGCTGTGTAAAAGAATTTCCAAAGAAACTTCTGTATATAAGGTAAAATATATGTAGTTTGTAAGTGTAATTAAATTAACATCGTTTCAGTAGTGTTTTAAAATAAAGTACCCTTCCAGCCTTACGGATCGCACAGTTATTTCCAACATTATTTAATACAGTTCACAATTTACCAAACAATCTTAATATGCACTACGATTTTAACAACTAAACTACGTCTAGCAATAGTTTCGTATATTTTTGCTTTAGAGAAAATGTTTTCAATTTAATAAACATTTATAAAGGCAGCATTTTAACCCAATTTCTACAAAAAACTAAAAAAAGCAAATCCTTTTTTATTAATTATCGATCTGCTTCCTAAAATTCATCCTACAATATTTTAAACCAATTAATCCCAATTTGCGGTTAGCAACATCATCCTGCTATGTGGGAATTTGTCGCGATATATGGGAATACACGTCCATATCGTGTTTCACGAACGGCTTAGCCACGACGGGGTTTATGGGTATTACATTTTATACATAAATCTACAAGATACATAACTCTCCAACAGGATCAGAACGCGCTGCATTCTGTTGGCCAAGTCTTTGAGCTCAGTTTTCGAGATATTTCGGTTTTTTCTCTCTGGTATATAGTAGGAACGATATATCTTTATAATAGGTATGATAAAATAATAGTTGCAAACAGTTTAATGTGAAATAATTTTCACTATTGCTATCTGTAATAAAATTAGACTACAAATGCAATAAGAATAGTGATATAACGTCATTCCATTAAAAACTTTGTAATATGTCAGAATAAACCTATTATTCATAATATTTAAATTTAAAAAAATAAAAATATATAGTGAAAATAAAATATAAATAAAAGTTCAATACTATCTTACATAAAATAAAATAAAAACTAAAATAAAACGAAATAAGTGTGTTAAA